GCACTGAGCATCTAGGATACCACATTCATAACTCAGCTCCTATTGGCGTTTACTTGTCGGAAACTCAAGCACAAGCGGAGCTGATGCATACCGAAACGTGTAGCTCTCTGGTATTCTTATCGCCTTGTGGAAACAAGATTGATATTAATTTTTTATGGGGTGCGTGCTTTGCTTAAAAGTCCAGGCCTTGTATAAAGCACCGGCTCTAAGTCTCATTCGCAAACTTTAAGTATGTCAGTTTATAAAGCATAAACTTGCCTGTATAACAATGGCGATACCCATACATATCTTGACGGGACGAGTGAAGGCTTTGGCAATTTTCTCATCACAGCCTGGTACGGCTACACCTTCCTTGCTTGCTTCTTCGAAAGTACAGTCTGTCTTTCCTTCTGGACAGCAGGGTGCAGGAGGCTCTTAAAAATATTTAAAAAAATAAATAAATGAATATTCAAAAACGACGGTTCTTTGTTTTGGAAGTTTACAGATACGCAGCCGGAAAAACTTAAATATTTACTCATAGATTCCAGATTGAGTGAGAAAACGGGATTGAAGTTGAGGAACAAACTGGGTTTCAAATTAAACTCAGGTATTTATTTATGTATTACAACGACATCAGAAAACGTTCTCTATATATTACTTTATAAAGTAAACATGCAGGTAAATGATGTATCCAAAAAATCGTACTTGTGAAACTCGTGATGGTTTTGAAATCGTTAACCCCATTTATGCCGCAACATGTCTCCTCTTTATGCTAAAAAAGAAAGGCATATTAAACATAAGAACAGCTTTACCAACGCGCAACATATATTTCTGCGTTGTAATGTGTTTTTGGAGGCTGTACGTGTTCTCTCATTTTAACAGTTACAAATGAAGTAGACACGATTAAACTTCAATGACTGTAAGCCTTACCGTCATCACCAAAGTCCATATCGCCTTGGAGGCTTGGCCGAGTTGGCCTTGCTCGTTGTATTTCGGGAGCAGTGCCAGCAGTATTTGATTAACATATTTCGTGAACTTCAAATTGAACATATTTAACACATTAAATGATGCAGAAAATTGACTCACGAAAAAAATTAAACCTAATGCAGAATATTTTGAGATACTTTGCATCAGTTTCAAGTACGGGCAACAATGGCGAACAAACTCTTTTAAGGCCAAATAGACAAAAAACCAACCGTTTCAGGTTTTGCAGCGAGAATTGCCAAAACGATAATTTGCGCAAGGAGCAAGATGGCGAGAATGATCGCATACTGTAAAAAAAGACAGAAAAGTGTTAAATTCCAACATCTTAAAAAAAATTCTAGGATTGTCTTTATTTTGCTTATCTGTAGCCTTTGAGAAAAGCAAAGTTGTACAGACTTTTTTCCATGAACAGTAAACCGCAAATAAAGGTCGAGTTCCTCAGACTAACAAATTTTGTGATCGAATCTGCGCGTAACTAAACGACCATCGTCAAGCCGATCAAAACACATCGCACCCAAAGAAAATGCCAATAAAAGTGAATTAACGAGTTCCAGGCAGCAGTTCAGAAGAAGAAGAAGGTGTGATCACTGGAACAAGAGTTTTATTTTCCAGACCATTCGTATTCCTATTTGCGCATGGCTCAGACTAACCTTCCATTACCTATGAGTAAGCATTCCCGAGGGAATCCGAAGCGTAAGGAAAATAAAACTCTTGTTCCAGTGGTCGCATCTTCTTCTCCTCCAGATTTTGTGATTGTCTACAACTGTAAACTTTTGTGCTTCTGCTTGGTTGTTTGAGATATATGCAACATAGATGAGGAATAAGACGTGTCCAGCACCGGATCAGTTGATGTGTTGTCCTGAGCTTTAGAACTCTTACAGGAGTCCATCTTCAGAGATAAAGTTTGTGCCCTGGGGTAATGTTTCCAAGAATGCAAAATAATATATTTAATATTTGGTTGAACGTTTGGCGTTTGGTAGCAGGTATTTTAGAAGTCTCTTCAGGTCTTTTTTTAAACAACACTCGGTGCTGCTGTGAGTGACATATTTCTTCGAAAATCAAAGGTCGTTTAGCTGAAACAACTTACAATCTTAAGAAGCAGTCCACAACCACAGCAGGAAGCAAAGGCACCAACAAAGCAAACAGCGGCCATAACCAAGCCAACGGCAATGAGTATAACAGAGGCGCTGCCTACAATTCGAACGGACAAGTGCATATTTGTAAGGGAATTGTGCTGTTATCTCATGGAACGTGCGCTCATCGTCTTAAGACAATTAAAAAACATACCTGGACTAGCCAGAACGAAATCAGCCAGCGCCTTGGCTTCTTCATTATCAATTTCCCCCACATGTGTGAGTGCAGTGTTGAGGATTTGCTCGCCTACAGGCGTCTTCAGAAGAACTCCAAATAGCGCAACAAGAAGGAATGCAATCTGTTTGTGAGTAAAAATACGATAAGTGTGAGGCCGCGCTTTCTACAGACATTTTAAATAATATTTGAGTGGAATAAACTATTAACATACTGTTTGTTCAGTATATTTAAAAAGGGTAGTCAAAAAATAAATCGTACCCCCAAAATGACATTGATTGTGGAAATAACGAACTTGAGCACAGCTTTAATCGCGCAACACATGCTGCTTTCGACTGAAACAAACAAAAGGCAAATTAAATCACCCATCTATCTCGGGAAGACATACTAGCTATTTAAATACAACCCTACTTAAACATTAAAGGTTTTTAAAAAAGTAAAAAAACAGCAGTATGATAAAGCAACTGTCGATAAGTTCTTTATGCAAAGATTAAGGAGATAAAAACAATTTCAAATAAATTTTATTCAGCTTATCTTAAATGAAAACAAAATATGGAGTAGCGTATGGGTACGAAACCGGGAAACTTTCAAGATGAAATTTGACTTCGTAGTTAAGTATAGATGTGGTGCATTGATTGGACTTTATCCGGGGAAAATTTTTTTAGTCAAGAAAATCACCATTTAAGTTTGGTTTATTAAGGGTGTTGTGCATAAAATTTGACTACATTAGGACTAATCTTATATCAAAGGAATTTCTTATGCTATTAAGTATGGCAGAACGAAACTTTCTATTAATACGCATTGTGCTATTAGAGAACTTCAGAACAAGTTGGGGAAGTTTCAAACATGTCCTTTCCAGAACCGGAAAATTTAGTCCGAACCTGTTCAAGTGTAAGTGAAGCAAATTTTCAGGAATCGTATTTATTTCCAGACACATGAAGAATTTA